AAATATATCGCTGTCATATCGCAGAGAAGTTATCGCAGAGACGTCGCATCGAGGAAACTTGAGTGGGACAAAATAACATCCCCCTGACATCGCAGCGACGTCTATGCGACATGGAATGCGATATCGCAGGTCACCATTGTTACATCGCTGCGATATCTCTGTGATGTGATGTGTTTGCTGGGTACTTAGCTCCTAGGGCGCTAAGTGAAGTTGCTGAGAACTTAACAAAACCAAGTATTTGGTAGGTCTCGTGAATTATTTTCTTCCCATGAAATCTTTATCGAAAAATGATTTGTTCTCTGTATTTCAACACCCTGTATCTCCGAAATGAAGCATTTCCAGACACAAGCTTATATAGACTTCATTTCTTAAAATTGTCTCAGGAATGCTTCACTGGAGTACAGTTTCACATACAATAAGGAATTATAGCTATAAGTTTATCCATATGTATATATTCTCTGATATTAAAATGTTGTTACATGTATTTTTTTTTTCATTTATATAAATCTTGCTCTGCTAGAAGTGTAGGTATCACTATGGATTGAAGTGGGTGTTGGTACCCTATATCCATTGTCCATCTACGGCTATGATCGATTTGACAGAAAATATAACCTCTAAAATCATATCTGACAATCAGCGCTACTAGGGAAATTGAAAAGACAAAGAGCAGAATATATATGTCTTATTCTCTTATTCACTCAAACCATTGTATTATAGAAAATAGAAAAGGACAAAAGTTCAGCTGTGTCCGAACTGAGATGTCCGAACTCTTATCAAACTAATACCAAACAGTGACTCTAGTGCGACCCAGTTTCACCAATGGAATTCGCTAGTATCAGTTAGGGTCCCTCGATGGAAATTTACGTTAAAGTCATCTTAACAGGGTACGGACAGATCCTCGTCTCTCACTCTGAAGTGTTTGTGAAACAGTTATATATAGGTACAGGGTGTTTCATAATTGAATGCTGATCCTGAAGGGCAATAATCCTTGAATGATTTTTAGAAAAATTCTTTATGTGAACATAGGTCCGTAACAGCTTCGTTTCTGAGATACAGGATGTTGAAATTTAACAAAAAAATCAGTTATTCCGCAATATCTCTGAAATCGGTCTGGCTTGTCTCTTCAATTTTGGTACATGCCAAGTATGAATAGAATAAATACATTTTTTCCATAATAAAGGATTTCATAATTCCCATCAGTGGCGTCCCTGTTAACATACCCTGTCATATTTTTCATCAGACTAATGATACGCCACTGTCTTTTTTCCAAATAAATATTATTTTTGTAATTATCCTCTATCTTCTCATAAAAATGGTCCCCTGTCTTTTTTTCGTCCGGCGAACGGTTTTTGAGTTAGAAAATAAAATGCATTCATTTGCTTGTCTCTATTCGATTTTTACTCTTTGTCATAATTTCACAATTGTGGTAACCAAAAGATCTAAGCAATATTTTCATAATTTTTTGATAACTATTTTTAAGTTTTTGTAATGAAGAAAAAAGCCCGAGCGGTTTCAGAGATATTGGGAATGACTGATTTTTTTGTTAAATTTCAACATCCTGTATCTCAGAAACGAAGCCGTTACGGACCTATGCTTACATGAAGAATTTTTCTTAAAATCATCCAAGGATTATCGCCCTTTAGGATCAGCATCATAGACTCCCTGTATAGTTCCATCCTTATATTCAATTCCGGGGATAAACACAACACTAGATTTTCGACATTCGTTGTTTTTTAGGTTATATTGAGGTCACTGGCGTATCATACGTAATTTCCATATGGAATTCCTGATTCAACTATACCAAAATATAGATGAACAGTCCCCTAGATTTAGAGTTTACTACTCCAGCATAATCTTTGCGAGGTAGGGAACATATGAATTGTACTGAATGCTCAATACATTTCAATAAAAGAGACTGTTCAGGGACTGTATACTAGGGTTGACTGAGTTGACTGAATGAATTCTGATTTCAAGCTGCCCAATCAGCACCAGACATCTTAAAGACGTACATTTTACGACTTACTCACGCCTTTACGTCCAGGGACGTATAAAGTACGTCTTTAAGATGTAAATCCATGTACATCTTAAAGACGTACACGAATTTACGTCTTTAAGACGTACATTTTAGGTCATATCCACGTCGTTCCTCCCATGTCGTATAAAAGACGTCTTAAAGACGTACATTCCAGTACGTCAATTCGACTTATAGAACAATAATGTAAGTTATTTTCTGAAGAAAAATAAAATGTCATCTCTTCACGTTTTTTATTTTCAATTGTTCAGTTTTTTCTTATTTTCAACAAAAGTGATGTTTTTGAATTTTTTCGTCCGACATTTTGGAGCCTTCGTGTTAGATTCTCGAATTTTTACAAAAAATCATATTCTCCGACCCCAAAAGTCCCATAGTAATCAATTTTGAAGAAAATCGGACTATAATCACAAAACTCGTCCGCCATTTTGAAGCCGACATCTTGGATTTTTCATTTTCGACAAAAGGAATTATAATCTCTGATCCTGAAATCCTTCAGATGCCAATTTTGAATCATATCAGACCATAATCAGAAAATCATATGCCACATCGTCCGCCATATTGGATCCGCCATTCTGTTTTTTCCATTCAATAATAATATCACAACGAATTGTCACCGGTATAATCATCGAAGTCAAGCAACAAAGAGCGCGGTTAGTACTTGAATGGGTGACCGATTGTGTCTACCGTTTGATGAAGTCGTTAATTTCTCTTTTTTTTTGCTTGTCTGCACTTGTTGCTAACTTCAGTGCACAGGTGAAAATCAACTGAAACTATGTGATTTTTCCGTAATTTGAAAGATCAATTTGAGGTCATGGACCAAAAACACCTAAAAAAGACGTCTTAAAGACGTACATATTAGTGGAAAATGTACGTTTTAAAGACGTCTTAAAGACGTCTCTTGGGCGTAATATGTACGTCTTTAAGACGTACTTATGTCTCGACGTGTACGTCTTAAAGACGCCTTTAAGATGTACTTTGGCTGATTGGGTGAGCAGTAGTTTATCTATGAGCTGAATAAGCTGAGCCTAATGATTGAGAAATGGTGGAAACATAAATAACTACTGTACTCATGTCATATGTGGGCTAAATATATTTTCGGAAATCCAACTCGGAGAAGAATTTATGGAGTGACTAATATCAACAATACGTATAAAACTTCGTCTAGGACGAAAAGTAGGCTGAGTAATAATTATATTATGAACTATAATAATGTATTTCGTCATATTGGATCCGTCATACCCCCAGATACCAATTTTGAATAGAATAGAATCTTCATTTCAAAACTCGTCCACCATATATAATGGATTCGCCATCTTGAATATTCCAGTTTTGACGAATCAATCATAATCTCCGCCCCGGGAGTTCCCAGATACCAATTTTGATTTTTGAATTGAATATCGGATCATAATTACAAAATTGGTTCGCCATATTGGATCTGCTATATTGAATCCGCTATCTTGAATTTCCTTATTGCCTCAGAATAATCCTGAGTTGCGTTCTCCAGAAACGTTTAATGTGCCATCCACCATGAATCAGCCACTATATATATTGGATCCGTCATCTTGAATTTTCCAAGTTTGAAGTAACAATCATTATATCCAGCCCCGGAAAACCCCAAATACCTTCCAATTTTGAATAGAATCGGATCCGAATGGGCGTGTACACCTTAGTAGAACTTTTAACTCAAACCATGTCTATAATGATCCTTTTATACATAAATAATGATTGACGACATAATTCGATCGAAAAATTAAGTGGAATGTTTTATTTTTGGACATAAATAATAGTACCTTCTGAAAACGGACCCTCTTATGACGTAGAAACCTCATATCGTCACAGTTGAAAGAAGATACCAAACGCCCGACGGAGACTGAGGCAACTGATATATTAATTCTTTCAACTGTGATCTCGCGCTAATTCACTCTGTCAGAAATCATGTATCATTCATCTCTGTCTGGAATAGTCTTGTTTCAGTATTAGAGTTTTGATATCACATCATCGCCTCGTTTTCAGAGGTCCGAAATTTTTTATAATACGTAGGGAGCTCACAGCAAGAAACGGTTTGCGGTGGTGAGCTAGTTTGGGTGAGTTCTATCGAATTATGAAATACATTTTTTTTTGTGATATAAGCCCATTACAAAACTCGTTGGCTATATGATCTTCAACAAGTAAATACCCTGTACATACTCATTATTGAAATTTTGAATGATTTTCTGTAGCGCCCATGGATATGACGTGACAGCAATGTCAGGGATGCCAGTAGACAAAACTAAAGTCTCTAGATCATTAAAAAAGAATGCAGCTATGATCTGTCCGTACCCTGTTGAGGTGACTTTTACGTCAATTTCCGTGAAGGGACCCTAGTATCAGTATAATAATAATTAATAAAGAGTTGAAGTGTTGTCATGAACGTTAACGTAAACTAAGATGCCTATAACCAATAAGCATTTCAACGTAAACGTAGAAATTGACAGCTACGCATGCGCATTTTCCAATTCTTCACGTTTGCGTTGTTAGTGGGCTTACGGGTGTACGTTAACGTACTCACGTACCTTCACGTATACCTTGAATATCAACGTACGTTAACCAAACTATACTCGAAATATGCCGATGAGTCAAAATTATCAAATTTGGGATCCCCAACGAGTTCTGCATCAAGAAGTCCTCTCATTTTGACAGGAATAAATGTTCGAATCTGAACACACAACCAAAATTAACCAATACAAACCGAAAACAAAATGTATTATTACGTTATGATGACAGTGACGACTTCAACTCAATTTAACGACAATACGTAAACGTTATTTTTCGTACCTTAACGTCTACGTGGAGGTCTACGTACAGTGATTACATCAACTCTCCAATAATATAATATGATCAGTATCCAACCGCCGCGGCGGTTGTGTAGACGGAGCTATTTTGTTATGATAATTTTGAAACAGTGGTGTCGTCTCTAGTCAGTAGATCTTAGTCAGTAGTCACCCTTGAATTTGATGATAATAATAAATATGATGAATGTTCGTGAATAATTTTAATTTTGTATGTCTGTAGTTCGAATACTTTGAATTGAAGAACATAGAGAAATCTTCAAGTTTTTCTCCAGGAGTCATTATCATGATTAGAAGAAACATTTGTCGATTATTAGTGAGCAACATTGATACTTTGTATTGCAAAAGGCACTTTACAAATCGTGAGAAACTGATTCATTCCTTAATAGAGAATGCTGTTGATAGATCCAAAATCATTAATTCAAGAAGAGAATGGGGAAACGTTAGACAAACAATATTGAATCATGAACAAAATAGGAAGCACTATACCATGGACAACATAGATGCACTAATATTAGGATTCTGTACAACTAGAAAGGAATATGAATTAGGGTTTTCATATCTACAATTCCTCAAAGATGAAAATATCAAACCCAATCTTGCCACCATTGGCAAATATTTCAAATTACTTTACCATTGTAATGAGAAATATTATTTTATTGAAAAGAAAAAAAATCCAGAGGATGAGGAATACATATTGAAGTGTTACCAAGATTTACGTAGTGATTATCCCATTTTGGATTCCTTGTCTCTTGAAAATACAATATTGGGTGTTTCTATGACACATGAGTGGAAAAAATGTCTAGATTTCATGGAAGAAATCAAAATTACCACTATCCCAAATAATATATCATATAGTGCTATTATTTCAGCAGCATTCTTGAACAATGAGGAGGAATTAGGTTGGCAACTCTTGGAAGAAATGTTCAGGAATGGTAGAAACCCTGGAAGTGTAATATTTCTCACATATCTTTCAAATATTGGGAAAATGAAGAACACTGCATATGGTGCTGAAAAACTAGAGAGGTTGTTTACATTTTTCCATGAAAATGATTTCAAATGTGATAAGGAAGTTGCTGATGCTATTTCAAGCTTATATAAAAAACTTGATAACCATAGCAGTTTCACACAGGTAACTTTGTGATAAACCCAGGTAAAAACACAACACCAATAGGATCTGAGTAGAGCTAATTTCAACAAATAAATTTTTTGAATTTCTTAGTGGTATTGTTAGATTGCTAATGATAACACCTCTAGATGAAATCTATCAGTATTTCCTTAACATTCTAGTTCCAAATCAAAAGTTGACATGCTCACCATAATTATTTATTGACAACTTATCACAAACTAAGAAATTCCAATATACAGGGCACTAAATATTATATTATCTCATTCACACTCTCCAGTTCTAGAAAATGTGGAAAGCTTAACCGGAAATCAGTGTGAAACCAGCCACGAGTTCCAGCCACGACTTCACCTAATATTCAAGGCGCGCGCCATACCACCAATGGTCATTTATTATCAATTTATATTCATGGCTGGCCATGAAATTACTTAAACCTCCAAAATATGTCCATGGATGAAACTATTTTACATCAATGATTTTCTCTGAGGGTCTATGATAATCTGTATATCTCACAATATTTTGTCAGGCAAGAATTAAACCCACAGGCCCCCTTTTTCGGAATTTCTAAAAAAATTCATAACTTTTTCAAAATACACGTGGATGGGAGTTTTTTCCTATGAATGTGTTCCTCTGATGGTACCTAATAATATGTATATCTCACAATATTTTGTCGGGCAAGAATTAACTCCACAGGCCCCCTTTTTCGGAATTTCGAAAAAAATTCATAACTTTTTCAAAATACACGTGGATGGGAGTTTTTTTCTATGAATGGATTCCTTTGATGGTACTCAATAATATGTATATCTCACAATATTTTGTCGGGCAAGAATTAACCCCATAGACCCCCTTTTTCGGAAATTCGAAAAAAAATCATACCTTTCTCAAAATACACGTGGATGGGAGTTTTTTTCTATGAATCTATTCCTCTGATGGTACCTAATAATATGTATATCTCACAATATTTTGTCGGGCAAGAATTAACCCCATAGGCCCCCTTTTTCGGAAATTCGAAAAAAATTCATAACTTTTTCAAAATACACGTGGATGGGAGTTTTTTTCTATGAATGTATTCCTCTGATGGTACCTAATGATATGTATATCTCAAATTATTTTGTCGGGCAAGAATTAACCCCATAGGCCCCCTTTTTCGGATATTCGAAAAAAATTCATAACTTTTTCAAAATACACGTGGATGGGAGTTTTTTTTATGAATGTGTTCCTCTGATGGTACTCAATGATATGTATATCTCACAATATTTTGTCGGGCAAGAATCAACCCCACACGCCCCCTTTTTCGGAAATTCGAAAAAAATTCATATCTTTTTCAAAATACACGTGGATGGAAGTTTTTTTCTTTGAATGTGTTCCTCTGATGGTACTCAATAATATGTATATCTCACAATATTTTGTCGGGCAAGAATTAACCCCATAGGCCCCCTTTTTCGGAAATTCGAAAAAAAATTCATAAATTTTTCAAAATACACGTGGATGGGAGTTTTTTCTATGAATATGTTCCTCTGATGGTACTCAATAATATGTATATCTCACAATATTTTGTCGGGCAAGAATTAACCCCAAAGGCCCCCTTTTTCGGAATTTCGAAAAAAATTCATAAATTTTTCAAAATACACGTGGCTAGGAGTTTTTTTCTATGAATGTATTCCTCTGATGGTACTCAATAATATGTTCATCTCACAATATTTTGTCGGGCAAGAATTAACCCCATAGGCCCCCTTTTTCGAAAATTCGAAAAAAAATCAAACTTTTTCAAAATACACGTGGATGGGAGTTTTTTTCTATGAATGTGTTCCTCTGATGGTACTCAATAATATGTTCATCTCACAATATTTTGTCGGGCAAGAATTAACCCCACACGCCCCCTTTTTCGGAAATTCGAAAAAAATTCATAACTTTTTCAAAATACACGTGGATGGGAGTTTTTTTCTATGAATGTGTTCCTCTGATGGTACTCAATAATATGTTTATCTCACAATATTTTGTCGGGCAAGAATCAACCCCATAGGCCCCCTTTTTCGAAAATTCGAAAAAAATTCATAAATTTTTCAAAATACACGTGGATGGGAGTTTTTTTCTATGAATGTGTTCCTCTGATGATACTCAATAATATGTATATCTCACAATATTTTGTCGGGCAAGAATTAACCCCAAAGGCCCCCTTTTTCGGAATTTCGAAAAAAATCATAATTTTTTCATTTTTTGGGCCGAAAAGGATTAAGTTAGGTCAATCTACGAGGGACCAAGATTTAAATCTTACCGCGGTCACACCCGATACCGTTGACATCCTGAAGTTAATACCTATCCGGTAATTTTCGAAGGTACTTAAGGACTATCTGATAATTTTGGGTTAACTTACATGAACATTGTATCAAATTATCTATATTGTGTATTTGAATCCTAGACAGGTATAGGAATAATTCACTATAGTTATACTATCAAGTACGTATTTCACTATGATAAAATTATGTAGAAAAACTCCGGTCATGCATCATCTGGATATTATTTTAGAACATTCGGATACCTATCGACCAGATATACTTTTGCCTAATTTTTAGTTACGAAATAATTTTATTACTTGATTCGGTTCTTTGATGGTTCATTCATGAATACATGATAGTCCATAATATAGAAGTTATCAATGTCAACTTCCTTTTCTCAAATAGAAACACCTATATATATATTATCTATACAGGGTGTCCGGAAATTATGCGCAAAAAATCAAGGGGGTGATTCTGCATGTGAAAACATGGAATTTATTTCATATATACTTGGGTCCAGAAATGCATAGTTTTCAAGATACAGTGTGTTAAACTTTTTAGCAAAAATCGGTTTTTTATGAATATATCAGATATTCTTCCACCGATTCCCGTGAAATTTGGCAATGATATTCTTCGTCATGAGGGGCTGATTCAACCATAATTTGAATTGGAATTGTGAAATCCAGTGGCGTCCCGGGGGCACCCTACCAAATATTATTGCCAATAAAATGTGCGCCACTGATTTTTTTGAATTCATGATCTTCATATCCTGATGATTACCTAAAAATACAACATTTTGATCTCCTGAATTGTTTTGCTATTTCTCCGCGTTTCCGTGGAAAAAAATAAATACCAATTCATTGTAATAGATTTGTGCAAAACATAGCTTCAAAAACAGGGGTGAAATTAAATGTGTGATCCATGTTCATAGACGTAGAATAAGAATGGAGATTAATTTTCTTCAAATATTTTATAATACATGTTTGACACACTTTTTATTATCGAAAACTACGCCTTCCCGGGCCGAGAATACATAGTTCTCGATATACTGAGTGTAGAGTGTGTCAAACATATTATTATAAAATATATGAAGATAATTATTCTTCATTCTTATTCTACGTCTATGGACATGGATCACAAATTTAATTTCACCCCTGTTTTTGAAGCAATATTTTGCACAAATTTATACAATGAATTGGTATTTATTTTTTTCCACGGAAACGCAGCAAAATAGCAAAACAATTCAAGAAACCAAAATGTTGTATTTTTAGTTGATCAATAGGTTATGAAGATACAGAATTCAAACAAATCAGTGGCGCACATTTAATAGACAATAATATTCGGTAGGTTGCCCATTGGGACGCCACTGGATTCCAAGATTCCAATTGAATTAGGGGTATATCAGCCCCTCATGACAAAAAATAGCATTGCCATATTTCAAGAGAATCGGTGGAAAGACATTTGAGATATTCATAAAAAACCGATCTTTTTTAAAAGTTTCAACACACTGTATGTTGAAAACTATGCATTTCCGGACCTAGGTTCATATGAAATGAATTTCTTATTTCGTTATGTAGAATCATCCCCTTGATTGTTTGCGCATAATTTCCGGACACCCTGTATATTAAATATATACATATGCTTTTTCTATATCATATAGAATATACACATTATCAAGTACCATCGGAGGAACCCATTCTTGAAAAAAAAACTCCCATCCACGTGTATTTTGAAAAAGTTATGATTTTTTTTTTCGAAATTCCGAAAAAGGGGGCCTATGGGGTTAATTCTTGCCCGACAAAATATTGTGAGATATACATATTATTGAGTACCATCAAAGGCAGACATTCATAGAAAAAAACTCCCATCCACGTGTATTTTGAAAAAGTTATGAATTTTTTTCGAATTTTCGAAAAAGGGGGCCTGTGGGGTTAATTCTTGCCCGACAAAATATTGTGAGATATACATATTATTGAGTACCATCAGAGGAACACATTCATAGAAAAAAACTCGCATCCACGTGTATTTTGAAAGTTATGAATTTTTTTCGAATTTCCGAAAAAGGGGGCCTATGGGGTTAATTCTTGCCCGACAAAATATTTTGAGATATAAATATTATTGAGTACCATCAGAGGCATACATTCATGGAAAAAAACTCCCATCCACGTGTATTTTGAAAAAATTATGATTTTTTTTTCAAAATTCCGAAAAACGGGGCCTATGGGGTTAATTCTTGCCCGACAAAATATTGTGAGATATACATATTATTAAGTACCATCAGAGGCATACATTCATGTAAAAAAACTCTCATCCACGTGTATTTCGAAAAAGTTATGAATTTTTTTCGAATTTCCGAAAAAGGGGGCCTATGGGGTTAATTCTTGCCCGACAAAATATTTTGAGATATACATATTATTAGGTACCATCAGAGGAATTCATTTATAGAAAAAAACTCCCATCCACGTGTATTTTGAAAAAGTTATGAATTTTTTTCGAATTTCCGAAAAAGGGGGCCTATGGGGTTAATTCTTGCCCGACAAAATATTGTGAGATATACATATTATTAGGTACCATCAGAGGAACACATTCATAGGAAAAAACTCCCATCCACGTGTATTTTGAAAAAGTTATGAATTTTTTTCGAATTTTCGAAAAAGGGGGCCTATGGGGTTAATTCTTGCCCGACAAAATATCGTGAGATATACATATTATTGAGTACCATCAGAGGAA